GATGATAGATTTTTTTTTACCCTACTGACTATTACTGTGATTTCCGTGTAGCACATAAATTTGTTTTTGATGGTCATGTTTTTAAAAAGTTACAGAATTCAGATTTTATATATCTAGATATTTTAAGTAGAGACCCTTATCTGAAAGTACAGAAGTGTTTCAGATTTTTTACTTTCTTTCCAATTTTAGAATAAGTACATATTCTTTTTTTCTAATTCTTACTATTATAAAGGTGATAGACAGAAGGGTTACAGTTATATAAGTCAGGTAATGAGTACACTTCTTTTTTAACAATGTCACCCCTTCCCTTGCTCTCTCAGTTTTTCCCTACCTTCCCCACGAGTTGTATAGCTCATTTTTAACATAGTATCTAGTGAGTACCACTGCTACATCTGTTCATACTTTGTCTCTCCATTTCTGTGCCTCCCTTACCCTTTGAAAGACAAACAAAACAAGACAATACAAAAAGAAAAATGGCAACAAAGAAAAAATGGCAACATTTCCTGGAGTTTGTTTGATAAATAGTATTTTATATGATCAGATTACATAGGTATTACGCCTTTGAGTTCCTCTCCTAGGAATATCTTCCTTTTGTCTCACTGTGTGTGAATGCCTAGAAACCTGTATAATTTATCATGTCCCAGTATATTTTTTCGTTTACTATCCAGTGTGTTTACTTGTAGATTTATAAGCAAATTCTAGTCACCACAAATGAGGGGAAACATGCAACTTGTTTCTTTGGTTTTTTACTTAAGATATTTTTCACGTCTTTCCAATTTCTTAAAAATCTTTCATTGTTATTCTTTATGAAAAGTGAGTAGAATTCCATTGTGTATATATACCACATATTCCATTCATCCACTGAGGGGCATCTATGCTGGTTCCATATCTTGGCTATGGCAAATACTGCTGCAGTGAACATGGTTGTGCACCTGTAGCCTTAATGTGGCTTTGTTTGTGTTCTATTGGACTAGTGCCCAGGAGTGGAATTGTCAGGTCATAGGTTCTATGTTTAGTTTTATGAGGAACCTCCATACTGCTTTCCAGAGTGGTTGAACAAGTTTATATTCCCACCAACAATGTAATAGACTTCTGTTTTGTCTATATCCACACCAGCATTTGCTATTGTGAGTTTACTTGATATTGCCCGTTTTAACTGGGGTGAGATGGAATTTCAATGTTGTTTTGATTTGCCTTTTCTTTATGACCAGAGATGTTAAACATTTTGTCATATGTATATTGGCCATTTTTACTTCTTCTGAGAAGTATCTCTTTAAGTCATTGGCCTATTTATTAATTGGATTGTAGTTTCTTTGAGGGTTTATTTTGGGGGTGGTTAATTTTTGAGCTTTAAACATATTTTGAATATGAGTTCTTTGCCTGATACATACATGGAAAAAAATTCCCATTCTGTGAACTATCTATTTAGTTTGTTACCTATGTCTTTTGCCATGCAGAAACCTTTAAGTTTGATAAAAATCACATTTATCCAGTCTGTCTTTGACTTGTTGTGATTTTGGATCTTTACTTAGAAAGTTTTTGCCTATGCCTAGGAGTCCATTTCGCCTATCCCTTCCTGTAATATTTTCATGGTTTCTGGCCTTACATTGAGTCTTTGATGCACTTAGAGTGATTGGTGCAAGGTGATGTATAAGGATCTAGCTTCAGTTTTCTACATGAGCATAGCCAATTTTGCCAACAACATTTGTTGAAGAGGCTTTCTTCCAACCTAGGTTTTTGGTTCATTTATTAAATTTAAGGTAACTATAGGTCTGTGGGTTCACTTCTGGGCCTTCTATTCTGTTCCATTGATCCTCAGGCCTATTGTTGTGCCAGTACCAAGCTATTTTTTATTACTACAACTTTGCAATAGACTTTGAAATTTGATATTGATATTCTTCCAAGAATATTTGCATATTTTGATGAACTATCTTGGAGACAAGACTGATGTTAATTTTGTATAATATTTTAATAATTTTTAAACCATTTTCTGCTTGTGGGATTATAACAATGTGCAAATAACAGGTACATAGAAACTGATTTTGCTGAAAAGTCCTGACTCCTTAATTGGGATCACAAGGTAACTAAGAACAGGAAAAAAGCCTTGACACCTCTGCCTTCATTTTACATCTATCTCCTTTGGACCAAACTCCTTCTTAACTCTGCCCAGAAGCATAGTAATAACTCAAAGGATGTTTATTTTAAAATGTGTAGTATTGGCTAGCTGCCAGTGGTGGCTCACACCTGTAATCCTAGCTACTCAGGAGTCTGAGATTTGAGGATTGCAGTTCAAAGCCATCCCAGGCAATAAAGTCCACGAGATTTATCTCTAATAAACTACTCAGAAAAATCCAGAGCTGTGGCTCAAGTGGTAAAGTACTAGCCTTGAACACAAGAAGGTTCAGGGACAGTGCCCAGGCCCTGAGTTCAAGCCCCAGGACAAGTACAAAAAAAATTTGGTACCTAATTTGTGTCATCCCCCTTCGATCCTGAAGGCACAAAGATTAGGGTAACTCAGGAAACTTACTGTCAGCTTTTACAATGTCCTATTTCAGACCTCCCAAAAGACACTTGAAAAACTCCAGTCATTGTTCTAAACCTGCAGTCAACTTGTGATCAGGAACACCAGAGCTTCCCAGGCAGATCATCCCATGCTGAGATCAGTCCTAAGCACAGTACTCTCATGGGAATTGATTCTCTCTCTCTCTCTCTCTCTCTCTCTCTCTCTCTCTCTCTCTCTCTCTCTCTCTCTCTCTCTTCTGCCCTCCTCCTCAAGCAATGAGGACTCTGTAGAAACGCTTACCGGACCAGACAAAGCTGATGATCAACCATAGCATACTTTGACCAAAGCTGCTTCGTTACACAGGTTCCCCCCTCCCTACCCATTTATCTTCTATTTTACCTAAACCTGCATCAGTACCCTGAAAATGGGCTGAAACATGTTCTTTCCCTCTTCCTGTAGCCATGGACCATGTTGAATAAATCCCCTTTGCTCTTTTCTACTGCTCATTTCTTTCATTAGTGTTTTGGGACAGATGGCCAAACTAGTTTCTTGGAACTGCCAGAACTGGGATTTCAGATTTTAAAGAGTATCATATTTTTTTTATTTACAGATGCTCAACTTGTATTATCAACTTATTTAAGTTGCTTTTCAAAACTAAAATTAGTTCATTATTAGGATGATTGCATTCAGGCTGTGATCTTTTAATTCTGTGTTTCATTTGCCTTCAGTCCCCGACCATAGGGGCTTGCACTGGAGTAGCTCACCTAAATATGTTTTCATTTCATTTTACAGGGATACACTTAAAGATGATTTGATCTATGTAACAGTGTTCAGTGGAAACACTGAACACTGATGAAATATCAATGTTGTTGGGGGTTTTTTGGCAGTTGTGGGGCCTGAACTCTGACTTGGGCACTGTCCCTCAGCTCTTCAAATCAAGGCTAGCGCTCTATCACTTGAGCCACAGCTCCACTTCTGGCTTTTTCTGTTTATGTGGTGCTGAGGAATCGAACCCAGAGCCTCATGTATGCAAGGTAAGCACTTTATCACTGAGCCACCTTCCCAGCCCTCAAAGTTAATGTTTTAAATAATCACTCTTCATGAAATGAATACAGATCACTAACTTCCAGCAAATTAGAAATGTATATACAAGTGATCTGTTAGGAAAGCTCTAAATCAAAGGAAAACAATACCAAAAATGCAAATCAATAATCAGACTCCTTCTTATTTTTCTACTTTGGCCATAAGACAAAATGCCAGCCAAAAAGTCATAAGATTTTGAAATCAGAAAGACTTGAGATCGGACCCTGATTTCACCTTGGTTTTCCCATTTATGGAATTGGGGAAAATAGGGCTGCCATGACTCAATGTTTGGACTTATAGGAATTGACAGGCACAATGCTTCCTAGCACAATAGTGAGACACTGAAAATGTTCTTTCTCTTCCTTCTTCCTTCCATGAGTTCCAACTGACATGACGTGGGTTGGTACAACAGGTCCCCTCTCTGTGTGAAAAGCAAGCTACATGAGACAAATGTGGAAGCTCCTAAACAAATTTTACAACTTTGGTGCAGTGGGAGGGGGGAGGATTGGATTGGGGGGCGAGGGGGAGAGGATGGGAAGGGATGGGAAGGGGAAACAAAGGAGGAGGCTACAATGCTTGATAAGAAATGTACTCATTATCTTGCCCATGTAATTGTAACTCCTCTGTACAGTATTTTCACAATAAAAAGAAAAAAGAAAAAAATGTGGAAGCTCCTGAAGAGCCTCAATGAGGAGCTTCTTCTTGGAGCCTGAATTCCAATTTAAGGGAGCAAAATTTATATTCTGAAAAAAGGAAATAACACTATTCAGCATTCTAATTATAACTATATAACTAATATAATAACTAATAATAACTTCATTAAGTAGATACTAAAGATTCCCAGATGAGGAAACTGAGGCATAAGGATTTATCACAGGTCAGAGGGGGAGGGACTTCTGGGACTAGTGGATAGGAAAGGCTGCATCCACTCCAAGTGAGAAAATATCCAAATTTCTGCTAAACAAAAAATTAAGTCTATGTTCAATAGATCAGACTTCAGTAGCAGTTGAGTTTATGAATAAAGAAATACCAAAATGCCTCATTTTCTCCAACAACTATTTTGTATTTAAATGTCATAGACTAAAGATAGTGTCCCATATTGCTATAAGAAGGTATCATGTTGGGCTGTGTGCTGGTAGTTCACAACTATAATTCCAGCTATTCAGAGAGCTGAGATATGGAAATCACAATTTGAAGCTAGCCTGGGTAAGAAAGTCCATGAGACTCTTTATCTCCAATTAACCATCCAAAAGCCAGAAGTGGAAGTGTGGCCTAAGTGATAGAGCATTAGCTTTGAGCAAATAAGCTCAAGAACAGAGCCCAGAAATCCAAGGACTAGGGGGAAAAAAGTATCATTTTGACTGTTAGCTGTGACTGATTTGCAGTTTGCATGTTATTATCTACTGTTCTCTAGTAACAAGACTGGTCTAAACAGCCAGGAGCCAGAGCAAGTTCTGATGGCTCAGGGTGAAGCAGTCCTGCTGAAGATGAAAGACACCAGGAGCCAAATGACTGGACCCAACCGAAGCTCTCAGATGGCTCATGCCTTTGGGAGAGCACATACATCCCCAAATGAAGCAACAACACAGGTAGAGACAGATTGATCAGCTCTAGAACAAGAGCTGGGATCAGGTGAGGAAAAGGAAGGTGGAAAAATTGAAGCCAAGAGAAATGGGAAATGTTTTCCTTGAATACCAGCTAGTCTCAGAGATGCAAATACACAAACCTACTACTGTCTGAAAGAAGAGAGGCAGTTAAAACATGAGGAAGTCCACATAGGTAGTGCTGTTCTGTCCTGACAGGAAGAGTCTTAACAATGATCTAGCACTTAACTGCTGGGACCTATAGCTATTCAAGCATCAAACCCAGAAGTAAAACACCAGCTACTCTATATCAAACTTTCCGAGCCCAAACTGAAACATCATTTGCTCCAATCTCTTGAAAAGTTTTTCTCAAACCCCATTTTTCCATGCCTCTGAGAAAAGATTTGATTAAAGGAACTAAGGAATCAATGAGTTTCTATTAAAGTCTCAAGGTCCTCATGCCACCTCTGTGCATCCTGCATGGTGAGTCACAGACAATGACTCAAATAATAAATGGAAAGTGACATAGCACAGGCCCAGCCATGGGCCAGTGAACCTGGAGTGACCCATATTCCTCTTCAAGGATGTCCTTCTCTCTCTAGGCGAGCTTAACTTTCAACTAGAACTTTTCCAATAAGAAAGAGAAGAATTTATTGCAAAATGGAAGCATCCTTGGGGAAGGTGGGCTATTTTACAGTGTATAAATCTGACAGATAGTATCAACTATCACTGATTGAACAAGTTAGTCCATACCATGTGCCCTGCTTTCACACACACACACACACACACACACACACACACACACACACGACTTTTAATATTCAGTAATTAACCTATTCAGTTAATGGGTGGAGCTGGACAATATCCAAATATTCAGAATATATAAAGCCAAACCCCCAAATCTATTGCTTTAAACTATTTGGTATGCCACATCTAGGCAAAGGGCTGATTTTTGGTGTTATTTCAGAGGATTTGCTATGTCCAATGCCTTCAAAAATGTATATGCTGAACCCAGATCCCTGTCAATCCAATATGTCCATTTCAGTCATGAATGGCACTGGGAGGTAAGGTCCTCAAATGAACTTATATAGCAATGTTGAGACCCAACTTATTCTCAGTCTTTTTGCTGGCAATTTTTGTGTGAACATATTGTTGGGAAATCCACAGGCACTCAGCACTGAAGTGCTTAGGTTTAATAAGTTATAGCTAAGAGGAATTCTCAAAACACACTTCTATGGCTTTTTCCTTATTTTTTCCATTAGGATTTTTTTCTCTTTCCAGCCATTGTAATCAATCACCAATAGGTCATTCTATCAGTCATACAGTAAGCCTTTCCCAGCCACAGACACTATTTCCAGTACTGAACAAAAAACCTGAGAAATATTTTGCTCAGTAAAAACTGTGAAGTCCAGCGTGGCTTAGCAGCATGTCCTTGTAAGCTCCTGGCATAGCACACTGCCTCTCCAGAACCATCCATTTTGTCCTGGAGCAACACTGCTGGGCTGGAAAGTTAAATAAACTACTTAATGCAAAACATTTCCTCTGCCCCTCACTGAGATGCTCTGAATTTGTGCCAAAATAGCTATTAGTGGTGATTGAAAGTGCAACAGAACAGAGAAGAAACTCCTTCAGCAACACAAAGAGAAGTACCTTTCCACCCTGGGCTCATCAACACTAATGAGAGCTCAGCAGGATTGTCAACTGGGCAGTGGCGCCACCAGAAGGCTGCTGATCAATCCATCAGGGGCTTGTAGTATGAAAGAAACAAGTTGGGTGGATTCTGTGTTTATATTATTTCCTTCCTTTTTTTTCTTTCTTTCTCCCTTTCTTCCTTTTTAATGCTGCTTCATTTGGTTAAGTCGGAAACAAACCAAAGCAAAATTCAGTCTCCATTTATTACAAGTAAACATTATCTCATTCCAAAACAAAGTCCGTCCAAGGTAGTGTCACTTGCAAGAGAACAGTTTCTAGACTCACCCAATCACCAGTAACAAGCTATGCTTCACATTCTAAAACTCAAAAAAAAATTGTTTCTATTTTTGTTACTGTGGCTTACCCTAGAAGCATCCCAGACACCCCCACAGTCATGAGATTACAATAACAAACAGGTAAGGAAAGTGAGTTCCCTACCTGATTCTCAGTCACTATTTTGGTTGAAAGTTTGGCTAGTCTCCTGATAAAAATCTATCTAATTCTTCAGTAGGGTTAACATCAGGCCCAGATCTGTCTTTTTGACAATAATAACATGAAAACAAAGTCAGAAGAAATATGAAATGCTACATCTGCCTTATTTTCTGTGAATATATATATATATATATATTTTTTTTTTTGCTAGTGATGCACCTGATCTTGGGAAGCAGATAAGTCTGAGTTAGCAGATAAGTCTTGAACTTATGTTACAGAATAGTGTAAAAATGGTAGAACACCTGGCACGCTTGGGCTCCCAACTAGAGCAGGTGCACATGCTCAGTGAGCAAGGCTCTTGAAGAACCTGAGACTGGTATCACCCATGAAATGAGACACAGTATGATTTGGGATTCCTGTTACATGCTTCCATGCAACTAACATGTGTCTTGTGAGAGCAAGGCCTGCTAGATCTGTGAGCTTGGTTGCTGGGGAGATTGACGTCTCATCCACTGCTGTGCTATTAAACAGCTTTCCCTTGGTTGTGGCAGCCTCTTAGGAACTAGGTGAGCTAAATCAGCTCCAATTTGTCATTTAATTACCCAGTGGTTGAACTCAAAATTATAGATGATTGATGATGTGCCTATTAACTTTAAAATAGCTTTATTTTCACAATAAAGCCAGCCAAAAAGTGAAGCAGCCAGAAGGGCTCAGGATTTTCAAAATTAGATTAAATCTTTAAATATTCTCACTTAGAGGATAGCACAGGGGAGCCCCACACAAGTCTAGCTTTTTCATATTAATAACAAGTTGTGAATTTTTCATCTTGAACAATTTTACATTATCATTATACATAGTCATACACAGAACTGTGGAACCAAAATTAGTGAAACTGGCAAGTTGTACATTCCTCTGGCTAACCGGAGACGCCATCACCTTCACATATTTTGTGGTTTCTCCAACGACACAGAGCCAAAATGCACAGCAAAGATCTCGTGTCAGACATCACTATTCTCCTCCCTCATGAGTGCAGATAGAAAACCACATTAACCCTCAAAAGAAGGCTGAGTGTATCAGCCAATGAGTTTTCAAGAAATTGATGCTGACCTAGGTACCTGCAGAATCAAGGAAATGATTTCCAGGAACTGTCTCAGAAGTTGCCCCAAACCTCAGAGCCATCCTCTACATGTGGCTCTATCTGATGACACAACAAAGAAGCATGCCTTTCCTTTCTCTTTCACCTTCCAAATATCACTCAAGTGATTCTGACTGCAGAAATGTTGGTCAAAAATCTTGAGAGAATGTGAAAAATGCAGTTTTCACACTGTCAGTTATTGGGATACAAATTAGACTTGAAAGGATTTGAGATAATATTACTTAGGGGTTGAGTATTCCTTATCTGAAATGTTTGAGACTCGCAACGTTTCAGATATTGTGATATTTTTTATTTTGAAATATGTTATATACTTTATAGACTAGGCAGCCTTAATCCTAAATATCAAAATCCAGCATACTCCCAAAATCCAAAACTATGAGTAGGCAATGCAAAAGTTTCAGAAGAGTGGCTGGGAATGTGGCTTAGTAGTAGAGTGTTAGCCTTGAGCAAAAGAAGCTCAGGGACAGTGCCCAGCCCTGAGTTCAAGCCTCAGGACTGGCAAAAAAAAAAATCAGTAAAATCAGGAGAAGTATGAAGATAGACTCACCTGTACCATATTATTAGAAATTTGGGATGGGGAGTGTTTCATTTAAATATGAACAAGGTGATAATAGCATGATGACTTTGTAAATAAGTAAGAGAAAAATATTGAAGGAAAGAAGAAAGATTTTTAAAGGAAAAAAAGGAAGGTAGGATGAAGGGGAAAAAGGTAAATAATATGTGAGAAATTAGGAAGGACTCACTCTGGAAGAAAATATCTTCCCCCCAAAACACAGAATATAATTTAACATGTGTGTTTGGGTTTAGAACAATTTAAGAAAGATCAAAATCTAGATGATAATAAAATCAAGTGAGAAGAAAAAAATTAAGATTGCAAATTGAAAATTAAGAGAGATTTTCTTTTTTTAACTAGAAGTATCTTTATTTCATCTTCATTTTTGAAAGATAGTTTTGTGATAAGATCTGATCCTTACTTTTTTAACTTTCAACACTTTAAATGTATTAAAGAGAGATTTTCTAATTTGGGGATGGGAAGGGAAGTAACAAAATGATGAAATAAGGATACAGAATGACCCATTGTAACAATGAGATGTACAAGACACTATGCTGAAAATGAATTTTACAACTTTGTGGGGATGGGGGGGGCAGTTGGGGGATTGGAGAGGAAAGGGATTGTAGGGGGAAAACAAAGGAGGAGGTAACAATGCTCAATAGGAAATGGACTCATTTTCTTGCTCATGTAACTGTAACCCCTCTGTACAGTATTTTTACAATAAAAAAATATTTTAAAAAAACAAAAAACAAAAAAAGAGAGATTTAAATGTTTAATCATTGAGGACAAGCTCAAACCAAAAGCTAAAAAAGATCCCATCTCAACAAACAAGTTGACATGATGGTGCATATTTAAATCCCAGCTACTCAGGAGACTTAAGCAAGAGGATCACAGTCAGAGGCCAGTCCCAGGCAAAAAGCATACACATTCTCTGGAAAGTAACTGCAGTAAATAAGGTGTAGGAGATGGCTCAAATGGCAAAACATCTATCTAGCAAGTGCTGATTTCAGTCACCACCCCCCTCAAAATAAAAGATTTATTATTGTATTAGAAATAGTTAAAATATGGGGCTGGGAATGTGGCTCAGTGGTACAGCGCTTGCCTTGCATGCATGAGGCCCTGGGTTCGATTCCTCAGCACCACATAAGCAAAAAGAAAAAAGCCGGAAGTGGCACTGTGGCTCAAGTGGTAGAGTGCTAGCCTTGAGCTAAGAGCTGAAGGACAGTGCCCAGGCCCAGAGTTCAGGCCCCACAACTGGACCCCCCCCCAAAAAAAAAGAAAAAGAAATACTTAAAATATAATGGGTAATATGACAAGGACATAGAAGCCAGGTTAAATGACCTACTTCTAGCCAACTCTGGGATATTTGAGAGTTAATATAATTAAGTAGATTAATAAGTTATAAACTAGTTGGAAACTCATAGAACATAGGCATGAATGGATACATGAACACAATGGAGTACCAAGGATCAAATGGCAAATGTGATACAGTCCAGCAGTTGGAAAATTATAATATTGCAAAGACCTGGCAAAGAGACCAGAATCATCCATAAGTGCTAAAATCTCAGGGAAATCCTGTGGAGGGTTGAGATATGTACATAGTAAATATTTACATAGTAAATATTTCACACTATTATTGTTAAGAGAAAAGAAACAAAGAGCTAAGCAAAGTGGGACAGGCCTATAATGCCAACTACTTGGGAGGCAGAGGTAGGAAGGATCGAATTCCAAAGCTGCCCTAACCAAAAGGAATAGGCCCTCTCTGACAATAAACTAGACAAGGAAAAGAACTAAGGATATGGTTCAACTAGCATGATGCTTACCTACAAAGCACTTACTACAAAGGCCCTGACTGAAAGAGACAGACAGCAATTACACAGTAAAGTGGGAACTCTTTGCCCTGCTGCAATGGGCCACTTTTAATCCACTGAAGCTGTGAATATTGCACCTGGCATGGCAAAAGGGATTTTGCTAATACAGTAGTCAAGCATCTTGAGGTAGTAGGGGGGAAGTTTTCCTGGATTGTCAGTGTGGTGCCAGGGCAGTAATAAGGTACTCACAAGAGAAAGAAGTAGGGGGCTGGGAAGGTGGCTCAGTGGTAGAGCGCTTGCCTTGCATGCATGAGGCCCTGGGTTCGATTCCTCAGCACCACATAAGCAGGGGAAAAAAAGCTGGAAGCAGAGTTGTGGCTCAAGTGGTAGAGTGCTAGCTTTGAGCTGAAGAGCTGAGGGACAGCGCCCAGGCCCAGAGTTCAGGCCCCACAACCGGACCCAAAAAAAAAAAAAAAGAGAGAAAGAAGTAGGAAGGAGTATAGCACTGTGCAAAAGCTTGATATGGGGCCCTGGAAGTCAAAAAGGAAAGGAAAGAAATTATCCCCTAGGTAATAAGAGGAACCCAAGCCTACCAAGCACCTCTAGACTAGTGAACTGTCAGACAATAAATTTGTCTTGTTTTAGCTACCAAATTTGTAGTGAGTTTTAAACTATCAATAGAAAATACAGATTTGAGTAACTGGGGGCAGGAGTCAGTGCACCAAATATCCACTCAAAAATGTGGACACAGTTTTGGCAGCCAACACTGAAGAATTTGGGGGAGTAAGATAGAGGGTCTAGAGATAGCCCTTTGGGATATCTATAGCAGCACAGCCCAGGCAAAAAGTGAAACCTTATCCAGAGATAACTAAATGTTTTTAAGGGCTGGGTGAGTGGCTCAAGTGGTAGAGTGCCTGATTAACAAGCACAAGGCCTTTAGTTCAAATCCATTCTCACCACAAAAAGGGTGGAAGAGGCAAACTGGAACTCCAAAGGAGCAGAGCTTCTGGAAAAAAAATTTTGTTCTCCTTCAGGGAAGTTCTGCTTTGCTCTTCAGGCCTCTTAACCAACTGGATCATGCTGACCATGATGATCTGGGATCATCTTGTAAATTCAAGTGATTATGGATTTTAAACATAACTACAAATACCTTCAAAGTAACACCTAAATGAGCATTTGATTGAGTGACTCGGGACTTCAGCCCAGTCCAGCTGATGCATACAACTGACACTAAGGCAGCAAAACCAACCTCACTTTGAGTTGTTTCCTGTTTCCAAACTAGGATTTTCTGCACCCATCTCAGAGTATCACATCTGGAAGCACATGATGTCTGTCTCCACTTAGGCATTTTCAATGATGGCTTTAATGCCAACTCTTCTAGGATAACCTCAGGCAGTCTGTGCACATCGAGGAGATGCCTGTGGCTTCTCATCTGGAAACCATCTCCTATCAGAAGTCAGGCAGCTATGCTGGACCTGCTCCTTGTAGAAGAGAACAAGAGTGAGGAACAGAAGCCAACAGCAGAATACAACCCCACAGTACCTCACCACCTTACCTGTGTCTGCCTCAGAAGAGCTAAGTAGAGCATTTTCAAAATGTAGCCAGATGCTGTCCTGAAATCCTAACTACTCCGAAGGCTGAGATCTGAGGAACAAAGTTCAAAGCCAGCCCTGCAGAAAAGTCTATGAGACTTGTATCTCCAATTGACATAGAGCTGTATCTCAAATAGTAGAGCACCAGCCTTGAGCAAAAAGTCAAACAAGGGCACAAGGCTCTACATTTAAGCCCAAATACCAACACAAAATTAAGAAATACATAAAACAAAAGGAACACCTATTTGGCATCTTGGGTAATAAAAAGAAATAAGAGAAGTAATAGAACTTACAGCTGTGAGAGTAAGAGGAGACATGAACTATATATTTCATTCAAAATTAATATAAAGTTTCTAGAATCTTCTCACAAATTCTTTGTTCTATCTTTGGTGACTCCTGGATCTTTGAAGAGTTATTATAACTGCAGCAACCACAACTAGACTTCTAGAACCTACTTCTTTGGCAACATACAAATTGAATTAGTTATGATCCAATTATGGTGTTATAGCCTTAGTATTGTAAAATATATCAAAATTAAATTTTAATCTCTGCTTTTGTATGCATAGATTTGACAAGAAATAGATACAAAGAAAGTCAAATTGCTATCAAAGGCTTACCTACTCAAGCACTATAATTAAGATGGGCATGGTAGCTCATGTCTATAACCCCAGCACTCAAGAGAATAAGGCAGAAGGTTCATGAGATTAAGGCAAGCTTGGGCAATATACTAAGACTCAACCCCAACCCTAAAAAATGAAACCATAATTACTAAAGAGCATTGGTTTTTGTTCTTGAAGTATAAATTATTTATCCTACTTGCGCTGCAATTTTTATATCTTGCAGTATAAATTCAACCATATGCCCACTAAATAAACAGCAGGCTGGAATTTTCATAAGTGAAAGTGTAGATTTCCATTTTTGTGATAGTTGAGTAATAGTCGTTTCAGAAAGAAATGTATAAACAGTGTGAGATAAAGTCACAGCATCCAGAACAAAAGAAAATTCAGTGTTGTCTACCATTATGCCCTTAATTCCTCCATAGTGTGTTTTCTTAACATGGCTGAAGCTAGAGGGTTTCCAAAGCAGTGGATAACATCACACTGTACATGCCACACTCTCTTTTCTGTTCATAAATGCAAATTCCTTGCTTACTTTTTATTATTGTTCCTTTGGGGGGCTTGCTTGTCTTGGGGTTCGAACTCAGGGCCTGGATACTGTGCTTGAGTTTCTTTGGCTTTACCACTTGAACCATAGCTCCACTTCTAGATTTTTGGTAGTTTATTGGTGATAAGAGTCTTACAGATGTCACTGCCTGGGCTGACTTTGAACCATGATCCTCAGATCTCAGTAACTAGAATTACAGGCATGAGCCACCACCAGGGCCCAGCTTATTATTCCTCTGTGTATGTGTGTGTGTGTGTGTGTGTGTGTGTGTGTGTGTGTGTGTGTGTGTGTGTGTATGCTAATACTGGGATTTGAACTCAGGGTCTTGTGCTCTCACTGGCTTTTTCACTCAAGGCTGGCACCCTACCACTTGAGCCACAGCTTTACTTCCTGCTTTTTGCTGGTTTATTGGCAATAAAAGTATCACAACCTTTCCCTCTCAAGATGGCTTCAAACCATCAATCCTTAGATTTCAGCCTTGTGGGTAGCTAGGATTCCAAGCTATCAGTGACTGGCAGTTCTTTTATTTTTTTTTAAATTTTTTTTTGTGAACATACTGTACAGAGGGGTTACAATTACATGGGCAGGATAATGCGTACATTTCTTATCAAGCATTGCAGCCTCCTCCTTTGTTTA